GAATGTATTTAGTAAATATATTTGGAAAGAATATTAGCAAAAATAGTTTTTATAGTATAATTTTGTTTTAATCATTTTTGTACTTACATATTGTCCGGATTTCCGTTAGAGTATGAAGATGCAGAGAAGTGTTTTTTGTCATTATTTATGTGACGCATATATACCATTAATAGAGTGTATCTTCCAGGTGATAAAAATTTTGGTAATTTTGGCGTATTGGTAAAATCAATCGTAAGCATGTTTCGTTTATGAATAAATGAATATCTTGGAATATAAATTTTTTCACTAAGATCGTCTTTATACAAAGCAATTTTAAATATAGCGAAGGTCACTGGATGCATAGATATGTTTTCCATTTGACGATTAATATGTATAATTATATTACATTCACCAATAATGTCATTTGTTTTGTAATTAAATCTTATTTTGGCATCATAATGCAATGGTATCAATGGTATAGAATCTTGTAAATGGTACTGAACTGCAGTGTCATTTTCGGTATTGGTAGCTACAATAGTACAAAATACTATTGTAGCGATTAACATCATTTCGCCATTTGTTAAAAGCTTTTGGAATATCATATTTATTTTCCTTCGTATAAAAAAAATGTCTAAAAAAATGTTTGTTGCCAATAAATCGTATTAATTTACAACACATAGTTCTTAATTTTTATGTAACAAAAAGAGCATATTTCAACTATTTACATGAAAAAAATATAGAAAGAAATCATGATACACTGAATGTGTAATATTTTGGACTATAATTGCATGGTACTATAATTATAGTCACAATACTCAATTTTATAGTAATCGTTCATATAATATTAGGAATGATACTTTTATATGTATACTATAAAAGTGCTATATTGCCAAACATTTAGCCTAATATACAGGGTGTCCCGCGAGACTTGTCCCACCGGGAACAGGGAGGTAGATGGGATCGAAATAAATATAAAAGTTCTTTACCGTTTTACGATATTCGCAATAATAAACGAAATATTAATTTTTGCATTTGGATTAATGAGAGCGCGTCGAGAGAAGCGCTCCAGC